TTTCTCTCCTACTTCGAGCCTCAACCGTAATGTCCACCTTATCTTTCAGACCTTTCTTTCCAAAACCACAGCAAGTTACCAAAACCAAAAGGCTGAATGTCCCTAGAGTTTCATGCAAAGCCACAGATGATACACAAAACCCTGCCACGAGAAGAGACGTCCTCATCGGTCTAGGAGGCCTATATAGCGCTACCAATCTTGCTGACCGAACTGCCTATGCTAAGCCAATCACCCCTCCAGACTTGACCAATTGTGAGTTGGTGGACTTACCAAACCCCGAAAATCCAACAAACTGTTGCTCTCCACTACCCAAAAAGATCATAGACTTCAGACCTCCTTCTCCATTCTTCCCGCTACGAACTAGACGTGCGGCCCATTTAGTTGACGAAGACTACGTGGCCAAATATGCTGAAGCCATTTCCTTAATGAAAAGTCTCCCCGAAGATGATCCACGCAACTTCTACCAACAAGCCAACGTACATTGTGCCTATTGCAATGGTGCCTACGAACAAGTGGGGTTTCCAAAATTGGAACTTGATGTTCATTTCTGTTGGCTCTTCTTTCCTTGGCACAGATACTATCTTTACTTCTATGAAAGAATCTTGGGCAAACTTATTAATGACCCAACTTTTGCTCTGCCTTTCTGGAACTGGGATTCCCCCAGTGGTATGCAAATGCCTTACATCTTTACCGACCCTAAATCTCCACTCTATGACCAGTTCCGCGATCAGAATCACCAACCTCCTGTATTGCTAGATCTTGATTATGCAGCGGGAGACCCCAACCCCACAAACGCAAATAAAGTATACTCTAGTAATCTTAGAGTAATGTACAAGCAAATGGTGTCTGGTGCAGCAAAACCAACACTCTTTTTTGGAAAACCATACCGTGCTGGTGACGATTCTCGTCCTGGAGCTGGGACGATTGAGAACAGCCCTCACAATAATATTCACAGATGGACCGGTGATCCAACTCAAGAAAATACCGAAGACATGGGCAATTTTTACTCAGCTGCGAGAGATCCGATATTTTTTTGTCATCACTCAAATGTTGACCGAATGTGGACGTTATGGAAGACTATACCTGGAGGAATTAGGAGGGATATCAGTGATCCTGATTGGCTTAATTCAGAGTTTCTTTTCTATAATGAGAATGCAGAGCTTGTTCGTTGTAAGGTTAGAGATTGTCTTGACAATAGAAGGCTAAGGTATACTTATCAAAATGTTGAAATTCCTTGGCTAAAATCAAAACCAATTCCAAGAAGGTTGGGAAAGAAAGCAGCTGAAACAAAAACTGCATTAACACCGATCACTGCATTCCCTTTAGTCTTAGACAAAACCATAGTTACTGTAGTTTCAAGACCAAAGAAATCAAGAAGCAGGAAAGAGAAAGAAGAGGAAGATGAAGTTTTAGTGATAGAAGGGATAGAATACGACAAAGGAAAATTCGTGAAGTTTGACGTGTTCATAAATGATGACCTTGAGATGCCTTCTAAACCAGAAAATACAGAGTTTGCTGGGAGCTTTGTTAATGTGTCTCATAAGCATGCGAAGAAGTCCAAGACAAGATTGATATTGGGGATTACAGAATTGTTGGAAGACTTGGAAACTGATGATGATGATAGCATTGTGGTGGCTTTGGTGCCCAGGTCTAATAGTGTTAGTGATCCTGTTGTCATCTCTGGCGTTAAGATTGAGTTTGTTAAAGAATGATGATTATCAAGGACATCTCGTTTTTTCTTATCCTTCAGGAGATCGATGTATGTCTTTTAGTGTTTGTCTGGGTGCCTTACCGCTTAATATCATGCACGTGTAATTCATCTCTGTACTTTTTTGTTTAACAATCTACAATTAAAGTAATGGCAGCTGATTAATTTTTTTAATTGTTCTCATAAATGTTGTTGTTCATCAAGAACTTGTTTTTGATGAAGTCATAAAGATCTCAAATTGGATTTGTGCTTCCCGCTACTCCGTCTTAGGCTGAGCTGTCTAGGTTAGCCCCTTCATGCTCTCTTACAAAAACAAGTTCCCTATCATCTTTTTATGCTTAATTCAACAAATTATAAGAGGAAAGGGAAGTATAATAACGAGAACAAGAATATAAGAGAGAGAGAGTGATGGTCATGTGTGTGTTGTTTTGTGATCTTGTATGGCCTTGTGTTGCCTTGTTCAATCATATGTCTTGTTACCTGTGACTGTTGTTATTTATACACCTTCATTACATAAAATCACATCATAAAACTTAAAGTTGTAGATATATAGTAAGGTTAGGCATGATGACTATTGGTGGGAAAGGTTGACATCCATAAATGATTAATGAGAAAGGTTGGCGCCGAACTCACAAGATGTGCATCTTACTAAGGTATGCACTATACTCGGCTGTTATTGAGAAAGCTACGTGTCACAGTGACTTCTTAGAGGTTGCAACAATTTATCATGATGCGTGTCAATGATGGGCTTTATAGGAATTTACACAAGATTCGGATTTGGCTATTCCATGCAAAGAACCTTAACTTTAGATAGGAAGTTCAGCTGGGAGAATGCTGAATAATGGTGGGGGATCTATTTGGAAGAAACTCTTACATATAGTTTTATTTTTTAATAATTAATACATCTTTTATTAATTTTAAAATCTAAATATAAACTAAATAACTCCATTTATAATAGAAAAAATAATAAAAAGTTCTAAATAAAATAAAAATCTAAATATGAGCTAAATAACTCTATTTGTAATAAAAAAAAATAATAAAGAGTTCTAAATAAAATAAAATAAATCATAAATCAACTAAGAAACTATTACAATTTCCATAGAGTTGCTTGTGGACCTTATTACAAGACTTTTCCAATATATGATTGACCTGGAATTATAATTTAATATAAAACAAGATAATTTTAAAATTTTGATAATATTTTAGCCACATTTAATGATTAGATTAAAAGTTATACTTATTGGTATAAACATGTGCATTAGAAAAAATAAACCTCAAGTTGCCTCTAATATCTTTAAATGATAAAGAAATCATGTCAATGATAAAATTCATAAAATAAACATAAACATAAGTTGTTGTCATGAAAATCCTTGCTAGAATAATCATTATTGTTGTCACCTATACTTTCCTAGTAAAAATAAAAAAATTACTAAATAAGAAGTCCATAAATTATAAGGAAACAAATTGCAAAACCTATAGAATAACTTTTGGCATGACTTTAAACACATTGTTCTACCTCTTCTAGATTAATTAATGGATCTATCATATATGAATGGAAAGATTATGATGTCTAGTTTTTATCTCAACTAGAATCAAAGAAAAAAAATTTTGTAGCTTCAAATATATATCAAATAGTGCACAAAGATCTAGTCAATGATATTTACAATTTGTTAACCCAAATATCCATAATTAACCCAATTAATTCCTTTTGGATCCTCTAAGTTTTAGACCTTCTAATAGGCCAAATTGGTATCTCTAATAGATCCTTTGGTAATACTTGTTGATTCATTTTATTCCTCTTCTCCTCAAAATGATTTAACCTCAAATCATCACCTTGTTTTGATATTGGCTTGTTTTTGGAAAACACATTAACTTGATTTTGATCTTCTTTTTCTTTCTTTTTAGTTTTTAAATTGTAAATAACTACATCACAAATAATTTATATTTTTTTCAACTTTTGTAGCAACTAGGTTTTTATATGACAACAATGATGAATAATACGGAAACTAAAAGGTAAATACATATAACATGATTTTAAAGCCTTAATTTGACAAACTAATACGAAACTTAAGGGTGTAAAGATTTAAAAAAAAAAACAACAATCAAATTGAATTTTCTAAGAAAGCTAAATTTAGGTTTGTGATTGAATTTGACACAACAATAAAATGTATCAAAATACTAAAATTATAAAAACTAAAACTCTACCCAACACCTATTAAAAAATGGAAACAATAAGTATGAAAGATATCATGAAGCTTAATTAATTCTTTGATAATTCAGAATAGTTCCATGAGGAACCAGTTGTAAAAGCATACTCTCACACACAAGTTTTATTTTTGAATAATTAATTCATATCTTGTTAATTTTTAAAACCTTAATAAAATAATATTTTTTTTTAAAATAGGCAAGAACATGCTAAACAATGCTAAAAAAATAATAAAAGAGTTCTAAATAAAATAAAATAAAAAAATCCTAAATCATTTAAGAAATTGATACAATTCTCGTATAATAGCTTGTAGACTTTATTGCAATGCTTTCTAAATGTTTAATTAACTTGAAATTTTAATCCAATATAAAATAAGATATCTAAAAAATTCTAGTCAAATTTTAGTCAAATTCAATAATTAAATTAAAAATTATGTTTATTAGCATCAAATTATACATTAAAAAAAATAAACCCGAAATTGTTTCTAGTGTCCATAAATAATAAAGAAACATTGTCAACCAGAAAATACATTAAACAAAGGAAACATAAGCTAATGACATGGAAACCATTGTCAAAATAATCGTAATTCTTGTCGCCCTGCTTTCTTGTAAAAGATAAATACTTGTTAAATTAAAAGTTTACAAATTATAGGGAAACAAAAGGCAAAAACTTATGGCATAACTTTAAACACTTTATTCCATCTTGTCTGCATAAATTATTAAGTGCAACATGTATGGATGGAAGAATTACATTGTCTAGTTTCAGTATAACTATAATAAAAGCAAAATTCTTCGTGTAACTTCTTATATCTTGCAAATAATATAGAAAAGTTTAGTCTAATAAATTTAA